GATAAACCTTTCAAAATTCCTTAGAGAGGTTGCTTCCAAAAAAGAAAACAGCCTCTTGTATCTCATAGAATGAGGTGCGTACTACAAATTGTAGCCCCGCTCCTTTTCAGAATTACCCTTGCAACATCATTCTAGATACTATATAGCCTCTATGCAAACATATACGCTATATACCATTCTGCCAGAAACTACCCACCACATACTAGAGGTGCACGCTACTACTACTACTACTGTTGACAACAGTAGTACGAACAGTAACCCACCTGTTCCCTGTTCCCGCATAAACAAGAGACCATCTATATGTATATATATATATACATATACATGTGTTCTATTCCATGTTATGGGTTATTTGCCATACACTACCACGAAACTCTAAAACCTAAGCCCTAAACTCTAAACCCCCAATCGTACACCCTAAACTAAACCCTAAGCCCTGAACCCTAAGACCTAGACCCTAAACCCTAAACCCTACACCCCAAACCCTAAACCCTCAGCCCTAAACCCTAAAATCTAGCCGCATCAACAAGGTCAGGTTTGCTTGTCAAACTTCGGGGCATCGATGGTCCTATCGACACAGAGCTCCTTGCCAGCAACTATAGTTTAGTGTTTAGGGGTTTAGTGGTTTAGGGTTCAGGGTTTAGGGTTTAGCTTGAGGTTTAGGGTTTTGGGCTTACTGGTATATTCCCCGATTCCCGAATACCCGTAGTAAGTTTAAGCTGCTTCTGAACATGGACATTTTCCTTAGTTCCTGCTGTTGAGTCTGTTGAGGGCTGCATTGAGATTATATAGAGTCTGGGGGCAATTGCCCCTATTAATAGAGACTCAAATGGAAAAGACAATCGAAGTCACTAGTTAGGGTTTGGGGTTCCTGGAGGTCCTACTCATTTGTAATAGTGAAGGATCCTGGACACCCACACGAAACACCAAGCCGCAAAGCTTTACAGTATGCGGTTTAGGGCTTAGGGTTTCGGGTTTAGTGTGGGGACAGGTAGGTTACAACAGCCCCCAAATACTCTACTCCCCCTGAAGTAGATAGAATATGGCTTTGGGTATGTTAGAAGAAGATCCCCATATACCCCATATTCTATCTACTTAAGGGGGACTATATCTCCTATAGCCCTTCATCAGGACTCCGCCCAGCCCGAAAAGATGGCAGGGGGTAAAACATCGAAATCACCTATCCAGGGATATTGGAAAAGAAAATGGAAGCTACTATATTATAATAGGTTATATAGGGGTTAT